CAAATCTACAGCTGAGTAGAGGTATAGTGCATTTGAATAAATCTACCTACTTAATACATTTGAATAAGAAAACGAAGCCCTAATATTCGAGCCAGTAACTAACTGGTAAAAATTTAATAACAGAACAAGTCGTTCCTTGTATCTAATCTCAGTGTATTTACTGTAGGTAGTTGAACTACGTTGTACGTAATAACTCTACATTGCCATCGGCCTTATGTACTGTACACTCCATTATGCCAATCACCTAGCTGCATGGGTACAACAGCCAAGACGTGATCTCACAAGCGCTACTGTATATGTGCAAAGATTTTACCGCAATGGATGACATGCCTTTCGAACTATCCCTCTTTATGAATCCAATCATTCGATTTTGCTTTACCTGTTATTATTGTCATTGTATAGTTCCAAGTACGCTCGCTTGATCTTAGTATTCCAAGGTCTAATTGGCTTTATGATGCTCACGTTCGTTTTCATTTTCTTTTAGTGGAAAAAATTCCGAATTATATTATGCTCCTTTTTCGTGACATTCTTACGTTTTCACATTTTTCGGTTAAAATGATGCTCATTTTTGGAAGACCCAATCACATAATTATATTATTCAAGTCTTCATCAGATTTTAGATCTACGCGGTCTTGCACAGATGTAACAGCTTTGTGTAAAATGAAAAGCCAAAGTACGCCTTGACAACAGCAAACTAGTTTTTGCCGTGTGAATTTCGAGATTACACATACAACTCCAGAGGTATAAATTAAGCAATTTAATTTAAAGTAGGAGTTAAGTTTGGATGCTTTTGAGGAATGTAATAGCATATTTGGATAGAAGACACGCTACGCGTGAAATGGAAAATTTGCTGATTGCCTTCACATGCATGGGTGTTTTTATGAAAATGCCAAATGCTCAAAAGGGGTGCACGTGTATGTAAAAGCACCGTGCAAACGAAATGTGCCATGTAAATGTACGATGTACCATGTACCATGCATGTTGATTATGTACGGGTTTGTTAAAACAATTACAAAATCTCGCAACACTATATGGTGTGCCACCAGTCCTTTCCATTTTCGATGTACGATACAAGCAAGGTAACCTTTTCCCCAGTAAATAAGGCCAGAAAATTTGTTCTATTTCCACACAAATATCACTTTGAAAAGTAGCTCCAACAGCAAATTGTATATTGTACAATGGGATGTTCTAAATTGCATAATCTGTGAGTAAGGAAAGTCCTTTCTAAATTCGCCTGTTGCAAAACAAAGTCGGCCGAAGAAAATTTGCCTGATTTAAGTTACCACCTGTCACAACCTCGTTCCCAGGGCTTCAGTGTGAGGACGAGGCGAGACACGAGGAAGACCTGGTCCGGGCCGGTCACGTGATGACAAAAAATGGCAGTATTTGACAGCTACTCGTCAAGGAGTGGCGAGATATTCTTTAATGAAATATACAAGTCTTCGAAACAAATAAATAGCCAAAAGACTTCTCAATCGATATTATTTATGTGTAGAGCGAAGTTTGGCACGAATCAGCTGAAATCTATGAAGATCCCGTCTATGTTTTCTAAGATATACCGATATTTCTGGAGATTTTCAACTACAGGCAAAGTGCATCCAAGCTGCATGTGTCTCCATGCAAGTGGTGATTCACACGAAATTTCCTTTCTCTCGTCTTGAACAATATGGCTATTGCTATAATTAATATTTAGTTTAAATATGCTCTTATAGATCTGACTTAGTTCAATATAAATAAACACAAATATAGAACCTCGAATAACCAGTTTACGCTGTACAGGAATATACGGATTCGCTTGTTTCGCCGGTGCAGCCAAAGGCTGAATTACGTAAAGTTTACAAAATACGAATTATTATTTATTTACTATTATAATTATTAAGTTAAAATTAAGCAAATATTTAAAATTTTACTAGGATAATAAAAAAGATACCACTAACGTTACGAAGACATCTTCGATGCCATCGCAAATATAAAAGAGCTTTTAGTACGATTAGTATTAAAATGAGGAATGTCAAATTCATGACCATTTCTGAGATCGTGGTGCCAGTTATGTTTCTGTGGGAGGAGGTCATAAAGTTTGTGGTTTGGATCCTTTGTAACATTATCAAACAAATTTCTGCATAAGAAATTATGGTGTTCTTCTATTGGTTTGATGTTCAACATTTCTCCTGCTGCAGAGTAGTCCATTCCTGGATTTATTATTGAAATAGACCTTTTTTCCAGTCGAATCAATTCGTTCTTTAAGTATTTTGGAAGGGAGTGATAAAAGGCTGGTACTGCGTAGTCCATGACAAATCTAACGCAAGACGTAGTCCATGACAAATCTAACGCAAGACGTAGCTCTCTTTAATTGAAGCAAATAATATAGTCTCTTACTGGCTTTCTTGACGACCTCTTTTATATGTGCATGCCAAGTTAGATTGTTACTTATTGTTACTCCCAATAATTTAGCACTTTCGACTATTTCGACTTCTTTACCATTGAGTATGACTTGATCTAGAACAACTGGGTCCTTACTAAAAGAAATTCTCAATTCTTTACATTTGTCTGGATGTATCTTTAATCTATTTTCTTCTGACCATTGCTTAATATGATCTGCTATGTTTTGGGCTGTACTAACATTGCCTTTGGGAAGAATTTCCGATGCTGTGGTATCATCCACGAACTTCCACAGGTATGGGGAATTAATATTCAGGTCTTGGATCATTAAAATAAATAACCATGGACCTAGCTATGTACCTTGCGGTACACCAGACGGAACAGGGCCCCACTCAGAAAAACAGCTATCGGCCAATTTGACTCTCTGCGTTCTATGAGAAAGAAAATCTATTATCCAGTTAATTATACTTCTAGGTATGTTCAAATTACCCAGTTTCTTTACAAGAATTGTATGGTCGATAAAATCGAATGCCTTGCGATAATCAAACAATATTGTCCTTATTGTTGCCCCATTCCCGTCAGTGTTTAAAAACCAGTGATGCAGCATACTAGTTAACGCCATAGTGGTTGACGAGTTTGGAATCGCTCCATATTGACTAGCATCGATTATGTCTAGAATTGCTGGTTTAACACAATCCTCAACAATGAATTCCTCTGCCACTTTAGAGATGCAGGGGGTCAGGGAAATAGGCCCGAGATCTTTTTCCAATATAGTCACTGTTTTTTTTTGGGTAACGGCGAAATATTTGCTTTCTTCCAGATAGTAGGCAACTGCTGTTCGTAATAGGAAGCATTGATAATTTTCATGACAGGAAGGGCCAAAAGATAAGAATAATCTTTAAAAATCCAGTTTGGTGGGTCTTCTAACGGAAGACGTTCGAGGGGTTCTGATCTTCTGTATTCGGCCAAGGGTGCAAGAAAGACAGTATTAATGGTGTCAGCTTGTTCATGTGGAGGGAGGTTCGTAAATCCTTCGACATTGATTTGATGGGATAAATTTGTGCCTGCCGACTTTATTCCACTTAACCGCTTAACCTCATTCCACCACTTCCTTGGGACTTCTCCTTTAAGTTGTTTAATGTTGGATTCGTAGTATTTTGTCCTGCACACTTTTATTTCTCTGTTGACACAATTTCGGTAATATTTAAATTGGGGGGAATGTACACGTTGCGCATTGAAAGCTTTTTGTCTCTTAAAAATTAGGGATTTAAGCTTCTGGTTCATCCATGGAGCGTCAGCTGGGTGAATACGAATTTTTTTTTCTGGCATTATGGTGTCTAATCCAGAATGAACTACTTCTTGGAAGACTGTCCACATATTTTCGCAAGTATCCAAAGGATTGAGCATTAAGGTCCAATCGATTGAATTTAAGTATCTTCCCATTTCTAATTTACGACTTTTCCGCTGGTCACGTATTGTTATCGATTTTTTAGTATTATTCTTCTGCACTGCAATTTTTCCTGCAGCTACTATTGTATTATGATCGGACTGCCAAAATCCTGGATAACCTTGAGGTGGGTTATAAGACTTGTGCATATTAGTTAAAATGAGATCTAGCGTAGCATCGTTTCAGGTAGGTATCTTTACAATTTGCTTGAGACGAAAGTGATTTAGCAACCGGGTAACGTTAAGACGATTAAAATCGCCAGTTATAATGATTCCGCAGTTTGAATATTTTGATTCTACCAAAGTGAGTGTTTGGAAAAGACGATCCAGAAATAATTTTCCATCTGTCCCAGGTGGGTGATATATTACCGCTATAATTATGCATGCAAATCCACGAGGGAGACGGGTTGGTCTCAAGTAAATTCATAAACATTCATGGTCGTTACAGCAATTCAGGTCGTCCAGACGTTTATATTTATATTGTGATTCTCTAATGTAGGCACACACCCCTCCATGATTCTGCGATGATCTATCCCCGCATGATTCTGCGATGATCTATCTAGCCCTGTGAAATTTGGAATATCAATGACACTGTCTGACACGGACTCTTTCAACCAGGTTTCTGTTATGAGGGCGAGATTAATTTCATTACGAATAATAAATTCATTAATTTCATCGATTTTTGGTACCAGGGACATGACATTTGTTAACATTAACTTCGGTACTTTAGGAATTCTTTGAATGGAACTGTTTAATAATAATACCGGTACCAATTCGCTTGGTCTTTCATGTTCGATGTTATACGAAAACCCTGCGCTCCAAATTTATCACATTTTTTAGCTTTGACGATACCGGGTTTTGTTGATTTATTCTGCTTCCCGATTTCGTTCTTCCTTGGCCAATATCTATTGCGTTGACTATTAAATTAAGATAATTTCTATTTGCATTTAATTTTCTGGAGTGTGATTGATGTTTTCTATCAGTTATACGGGTTGGAATATGTTGATAGTTACACGACCCTAGCGGTGAACACGAATTCTGCTCCATTTGGTTCCGATCATCATAGAACTGGTGTACTTCTTTTGTATTCCCGTTGTTATTAGTAACAACGGAAATTTCATTGGAGGATGAGCAACTATTTAAATTTGGTTGCTGGTTGGAATTACTTTACATACGTCTGGGTGCTTCTTTTGTTCTATTTGAATTGTTATGTTGTTATGTTGTTGGGCACGTTTGTTGTCGCCTAAAGATTTTCCTGCATTATTCGAATTTGCTTTGTAATTTTCCATTTCCGAATTTAATGCTTGAATTTGATCAATGAATTTTTCATTTTCGATTAAATAGGCATCTGAATCCAACTTGCAGTTTACATGCTGCGTTATCTCTTTTTGATTCTTTTGTATATCGGCAATTTCTGTACATATTCGATTGAACTTTGATTCCATTATAACTAGATCTAATTCCATTATGACTGGGGCAGGGCTACACACTTGAGTTTGATTAGTGGTCTCGTTTGCTGGATACAAATCCGTTTGCACAGCAACATTACACTTCGCGCTTTTGGAACCAATATCTTGAGATTTAATATAATTTGTAACCATGGCAATGTCTTCAGAAAGATTATTCATAACTGCAGACAACTGACGAACTTTCGTCTTAACGTCGCAAAATTCATTAAGTAATCGGTCAACAATTTTATTCTCATTCGTTTCAGATTCGTGAATTTGGGTTTTATTACTGCATAAGTTAATCACTAAGTCCTTCAGCTTACCACCAAGTTCACATTGAAACAAGAAAGATTTCTTGTTCGCATACCAAGTAATAGTTAGTCTGTCATTTCGGAATGAATTTGCACTCCCACCCGGCGAACTCCATTTACCGTCGTTGCCAAACTCAAATCAGATACGAAATTCTTCAGTTTCTCGAAGTCTCCAGGCCATCTTATTCGATTATTATTTTTATTATATTCAATATATTCTATATAATTTGACACGACATTAAAGAAATTAACTTGAAGCTGACCAGATAGATTAACAGCTGACTTATCTAAAGTCCGACCGGCATCCATGTGAATGTTAAAAGCCTGATTCATTTTTGGTCGCATTTTTTCGAGATTTTGTAAATTTCAAAAGCTTTCTCAGAAAGAAAGGGCGATTTTGAGAGTTTACTCAAAATCTGAGCTTCTCTTGAGTGTGAATGGTGTATACTCTTTGAATAGTTGGAGTGCGAGTATCGCATTATACTATGTGAGTGTGAGTGGACACTCATTGAGTGCTGAATTAATTGCACTCATTGAGAAAGAGCATCCACTCATTGCGAAGTGTGTGTGTAAAGGCTAATTTCCATTTCACATGAATCAATAGATAAAAACTTACTTTATCAGAATCCTTTGCTCCCCAAGCGAAACAGGTGCACAATTGCGAAAATAATCCCTCCAAAGTTCGCTATTTTCCCGCTTCGAAATATTCGAACCGCCATTGTTTTGGTAGCAAATACGCATGCGCAAGTCAGCCAAACTCGCACTGTGCACGCGCAGACGGAATAAAGATCAAACCTTTGTAATATTAACGAATAAATACACACACATTAAATATTGTTTAAAATAATACATTGTACATTTTGCTTGCTCATTTGCTAAATCACTTCAATTCATTGACTATTGTTTCAAAATACCGTTTTAACGTTTAATTCTACTTATTAACATCCTAATTCAATACAAATTTATGTATCAAACAGGATGGAGAATATTTAAATATGCTGTACATATAATTCTCACGATCAAGAAACAAATTAACTATTTCGCTAAACTAAAGCCTTGGCCAAACGTTAAAAACATTTTGCGGAAGTATTCGCGATTTTCAATGTTTGCTCAAAATTCATCATAAAAATGATGTTATGTTTGAAATTCATCATAAAAATGATCAATTGGGAGGAAATATAAAATCCATAATTTCATCATAATATCTATAATTGAAAGACATGTTTTCATCCTTGAGCCGATATTTTCATCAGTCGGCAATAAAATCCCACTTATTAGATCCTGCCCAGGCCTTCCGGCCTACGCTCAAAACGAGATTGCACGTATTCTGCAATAAGCTGTCCTGACATTTGTCTGGTAAAGTTCTACTTCTCGTATTTGAACTATTACATATATTATATTGTGACATAGGTTGGTATTTAGCCACTATCTAGAATAACGAGAAACTATTCAACCTGGTTTTTCGTTCCCACACTAGTTGACTTGTTCTTATAAATTTGCTGCTGTTGCGCCCCATGCAGCTCCTCCGCTACCATGACCATACTGTTAACCCTGTCCATGAGAGGGATATACGTGTTTATAATATAAATACTGTTGATCTGAACGAGAATAAGTAAACAAATACTGATCTGCTGCACTGCGCAGATAATACCTAAGTACATTAAGGCAATTTTCTATTGCAGTCGCTTTGCCCGTGCGGGCGGAGCGAACATATTACTCAACTTTCTCTGTAGTTGTCTATCCTGTGCATTTTTTGTCCGTTTGAATGCTCGCGGATACGCCATGAAAGTAGTACATTCAATTTTCTTGACGTGCCCGCGCGACTGATTTTTCACGTGATTAAAATTGGTCCCTCCACCCGCGCGGGCAAAGCGACCACAATGGAAAATTGCCTTTAGGGAACTGCTGGCATGGTCATTGACTTGCCCTTCGTTTACTTCCCAACCAAACTCGCTGATTTAAGGGTGTGACATAACTATTTGGAGTGCACGCGGCATTGATATGATGTACGATTTGTATGTAAGTAAAAGAACGTCATTTGTGCATGGCATGGTGTTCAATCAGATAGATAGATAGATAGAGATAGAAGTAAACGAAAGGCATGTCAATATATCAAATGGATGCCGGCAATTACTGATGGAATTTTGGAAAACGTTACTGCTGTTGTAAGTCTGGATATTCACCAAGACGTTGTGCCTGTTAAAAAGCCGAGAATAGAAGTGTACTGGTCTTTGTTCCGGTGGCGATTGCACAAATTTATCCCGACCAGAATACAGACGAGAACGATTTCTCAGATGATGATGGCCTATTATTCGAACTTGATGGCGATCATACTGGATTTGATGGCATAAAAAAGCCAGCGTGGCCGGCTCTTTTATAAGTAGAGCCTGCCCGAAAGTCCTAGTCAAATTGATGCCGCCCACTTAGTTAATATTCCATATTAACACCACCCACTCGAAATAGTTTTGTATAAATTGTGACTTAAAATTTTAATTGTTACATATTTACTATAGCCTGCGCTACATGCTTTCAATAAACTTTTTACAATAGATGGACAGCGATTCAACTGCCTGGAAATACAAGCAAAACGTCGGCATTTCGAGCGAAGGTCCTTCGACTTTGTCTGGAAATTAGTAGTAGACGAAGACCGTTCAAAATTATATTATGCTTTGCACCTGTATGGCTGTACTACAGTTATAAATATTGCAGTATTAAATATGACTTAGGAAAAGTTTAAATAGACCCTTTCCCGTGTTATACACGTTGGCAGGCAAATGTATTTTAAAAGCTCCAAAGAGAGTTTCGTATTATTATGGTGTATTAAACACAATGGGGGAATGTATTGTTTTATATATAAATGGTAATTTGCCAGCCAGCAAAATATAAACAAGGCAAGGACAGCCAAGGTTTTATACTCTATATACTATAGTGACCATACGGTAAAATCATACGACATATGCAGTAATAGCAGTATGGCTTGCCGTATTCTGTTTAGATACCGGTATATGTTATACATTTTACACTTTGTCTTTTGAATTTTATATTTTAGCCGACAGTTTTACAATTTTAAAGGTAGGTTACAGTCCCTTCTGCGCATGCGCTGGCTTTGTTTACGTTTTTTGTTTTGATCCACATTAATTATATAACATGAAGTATATGACGAGTTCAAAGTAACATTCCACATAATTTGTGACCGAGGAGTGCAATGTTTGACAATACTTCGCTTCATTTCTTGTACATTTCTACACTGGAAATTTTTGTACACAATATAAGCACAATCTTATACTGTAACTGTTTAACTGTAAACATCGTGAATAAAGTTATAAAGAGGCCGCTTTGAACGTTGTGGGACTTGCTATATCAACAGCTGGGGCGGCGAACCGAAATCCCGAAGGTGTGAGTTCGAATAATTTGTGTTTACCTTTGGAGTGTCTCATCATGAATATATTTAATGCGGTATCAATCCCTCGAAACATGTTGCCAGTGTTGTTGTTGTCATTATGACAGAAGCGCTTGGCCTTGGGTAAAGCTTTTCGCTTGACGAAATTCGAAACAAGTGTGATTGAGAATGTGGTTGCAGTTCCTGTCTTCGTGGCAAAGCCAAGGGCGAAATTTTTGACCGTGCAAAAGATGGATATACAGCTTTATTTGTTCAAGCTCGTGCGCGCTATGGAGATGATTTCGTTATAAACAACAAAAGAGTTCACTGATAGATTGACAGTGACGAGAGTACGAGACGCTAAGATTATATTCAACTTTTCAGTTGTGTTATAAATATGTATGTTTTGAAATTATGAACTGGAAGTATGAATTCATTGATATTACTCTCATAGTCATATTGACACTAAATTATGATATTCTTGTGACACTGAATGATCTAATAGCAATATTAACTTGAACAATTCTGGTCAATCTAGTGATCACGTTAGTTCATCATGTCTCTTCAAGACAGAGGACAATTGCTAAATATATGCTTGTTTCGCTGTATATCAGAGCCCATCAGAACGTTCATGAAACACTGATGAAATTTTTATTTACATCAACGAATCAGTCTTTCTTTTTCTTAACAGATTTATTGGGTTATATGATAATACAAATAATTTATAAACAATTATTATTAAAACACATATATCCAAGGGATAGGCATGAATATGACTCAAGGGCTTGTGCTCCCCCCCCCTGAAAGTACTGAATATACTGAATATAATTACAGTTTGTGACATGAATTCAGGTAAGCACCATTCACATAAGAACCTGCTTAGGCTAACTTGGAAAAAATCTAGGTTCTTAGGGTTTTACTGTCTAGTCTAGGGTTTTACTGTGTTGTCTGATTTCATAAAACAGGCCATGGGCATGGCAGCTTGTTCTGACAATATATACCTATATATGGGATGGTGCCACTCTTTGTGACACAAGATTAGGCAATCATAGTACAATATGAAGTGGCTTGTGTTTCAGATTGCTTTGTGTAGGAGGCAATCCATCTAGGAGAAAGAAAGCTCGGATTTCAAATTCCCAGATCCCACCTTGGACAATACATGTAGTGAATACATGATCATTAGAGCTTGGAAATTAGGTTAAATTCTTAAAGAAAAGCGACTCATTTTTGGTATTCGAGGTATAATTTACATGTATATACATATATATAAATTGCGCACAAATTATCTAACTAATAGCTATGCCGCGGTAAAGCTATACTGTAAAGCTGCTAACACTTTATTTATCTCAATGACATTTTCAGTGTTCTGGATCATTTTCATTACTTTGACTTTGTGAAGAGTTTATTTTCTTTGATTTATATACATTTGTCTTCATGTGATAAAATAAAAACCTGAATTGCTAGCCTAAACAAATTCTTATTTAGGGTGTCTAAATAAAAAATTTTAGCCTGACAGGTTCTTAAATTGTAGGTTCTTATATGCAAGCTTTTAGTCACAATTAGGGTGAAAAAATATACTAGTAATTATTAATTGAGTTTGTTTACATCATATAAGTTTCTGTGATCAAAATGTTTTATAAACTAAATGTCTTGGGCGGTGTTTATATGGAGGCGAGCCAGCCCGGTTACCTG